AAGAGTGAAAGTAATGTGTCACTTCATGCCTGAGACTCTTATGACTTGGATGTGCCTTCTGCACACTTCTTCCCTGCCTCTAACAGCTGCATGCCCAATGCCTTGGGTGACCTCGGAAGTTAAGTGTTGAAGAATGCATGCAAAAGTTCTGCCAGCTTTAGGTCTCTGAATAGCTGCTTGGAGCAGAATCTACGCCCTATGACTAGTAATATTTAATTCAGACATACAAGTGAGAAATAACTTTACCGTGCTAAGACATGGAAGATTTGAGATTGTTCATTATGGCGTTTTGTGTCACCCTAACTAATTAAAAATCTCCTTTCTATTTTTTATGGGGGAGCAGATAACTCAAAATCTGAAGAGGTCACCTGTTTGTTTTCCTATATTCTCTGGCACTTTGGTATGGGTATATAATCCATACTCTTTTAATGAGACTCCTCCACCTGGGACCTGGATGTGGGAGCCATGATGCAATTTAGGGACTGTGAAGAATACGTTCTTGGATGGTAGCAGTTGGGCAGCAACACTCACATTTCTGGAAATTTTGTGAGCTTTGCATTACACATTCACTAAACTAATTTTAGCTTAAAAACCAGTCCCAATTAATTATCTTGGCTTGCAACTCAGAGTCTTTACTAATGGTCTATGGGAAACAAGCCTCAAATAATGATCCACCAATTAGATCCAGGCAAAAGTACTGGGAGTACTTTTAAAGGCATTTTTAAGTATATGAATTTTTTTTTTATTTTCATGAGACTAAGAATATGAAGTCTTTTAGAATTAGAAAAATACATTTGGACTTGTTAATTGGAAATGCAATTAGCTGTCATTTGAAATGGTGTTTCTAACAAGAGAATCAGTCCTCAATGCATCGTTATTTGCTTTGTTATTTCATAGCAGCTGAAATGAAAAACTGATACTTTCCTATTATTTTTAGACCATAGTTACTAGAAAATGACTCTGAAATCTGCATAATTTCTCAAGAATATTTCTCTATCACAGATTTCAGTATTCTGAGTAAATGTACAGGTAGACACCTGCTTAAATCAGTGATTTGATGACTGCAAAGCACACCCTAAATATCATGTGAAGTAAAACAGTAGTCCAGTAGATTTAGTAAAAGACACACCTACAGTTCATTTGTGATCAGGGGAGAAACATTTCTATAAATAATCATTATCAGTTTTAGTGATAACATTCAGAAATGAGACTCTCACATTGTGGGCTACCATTTCCATTACTCTTTTCTGCCATCCCAAAATCATATTGAAAAGCTAAAGAGACATCTAAAATGAATATTTCACTTTTTACAGAGATTTTTAGAAGCTCTGATTTCCTCTCAAAACATGTAGCTTTTACTATGCATGATTATGAAATTGATTATTTCAGGGAGCTACAGTATATAGGTATCATCCTTTTTACTATTTGATCTTCTATAATTCTGAGCCTATATTAACAATGTACCATTTAAATGCCACAATGGAATTTTACAACAAGTTAATTAGTAATATCACAGAAGAAATAGTTTTCTTTAATTTTACCATAATATAAATCCCTTAATTTAGTGTAATCAAAGGATATTCCCTAATAGTGAATATCTTTAAAAAATTCTGAAAAAAGACTATTAATATTTTATAATATAAACCATGTAAGATTATACAGGATATTAAAATTTAATGGTCTGGCTCATACTGTAAATTATAGCCTTTTAATTTTTTCTGTCTTCAAGGAAATATACATTTTTATGAAGCATAGTAATACATATCACAGTTAATTTCAGTTAGCAATTTCTGAAAACAGAAATCCTAGGTGAATGTGATCTGTAAAGAATTCAGAAATCTAATTTAAACATAACTTTTCGATTCCAGTTTCATTAAATCATTTATCAAATTTGTTGCTGACCACTTTCAACTGATGGTGAAAGTTGCTATTGTATTGGCAGTGGTAACTAATCACTTCTCTCATCTTCCCCATGCATTTGTATCAGTCTTGGTCCAGTTAGGAGAGAGAACAAACACACAGTATTTTAAACAGGGAAATTTTATTTTTTAAATAAAGAATTATTAACTATAAAAGAGATTTGAATAATGAAGGATTGGCTAAAAGTACCAAGACCTCTAAAGAATATATGAATCCCAGATATAATATTCTATAATCTATGTATAGCAACAACTACCCCTAGGGTTGAAATAGAGTGCCTAAGGAAGAGCTCCTAAAATCCCCCTTGACTGAGATCCAGATCTTCTTGTAGAGGACATGATTATGGCCCACTAAGGCAGAGAGGTCACTGTGATACCATATTGGTGGGATGTGCTGGAAATTCTCCCTCCGGAGTTGCAGATGTCTCATCAGCAACTGTCCACAACAAAAATCCCAGGGGGCACTACTGGCCATGAGGTGTCAGAAAATCTGAGAGCTCTGCAGGAGCCTAGACCTGGTGAAACTACCCAGGCTTCAGGAGCATGGAGAAAATGGAGAAACTGAAACACTGTGAGAAAGAACAGGCATGCACTGCAGGAGATAGGCACCAGAAAAGCTGTACATGCTGCCAGAGCCTGTGAGCAAACAAACCAGAACCAGGAAGCAGAAATCTTTTCTCATTCAGTGTCTGTTTTGCATCATCTGTGGCAAAGCTTAAAACTGTGCCAACTGGGAAAAGATAAGTATTTAAAGGGCCCCGATCCATTTTCATAGAACGAGCAAAAAGGGTGTATTTGGAGTTGAGAGGCAATAAACGTATAAGCAGCACAACATAGTACTGAAAATAGGAGACAGTTTCTTTACATTTTTAATTACTACTATGATCTTAACTTGGAGAGTCAGCTATTATGCAGGAATAGTTGAAAATGAACTGATATATTTGCCAGTATGCTTATTTCTTAACTCTAGTGCTACCACACACACACAAAGAATAAAGTGATAATTTTATGTCACTGGCTCTCAGTTTCTACAAATACAAATGCAGGGTTAAAATAAAGTACATTTCCCTGGACTCTCCTGGGTTGGGGCAGTGGGGGGCCAAGGGCCTTGGCCATGCCCTCCCAATGTTGTGGCAACTGTCCACAACAAAAATCCCAGGGGGCACTACTGGCCATTAGGTGTCAGACAATCTGAGAGCTCTGCAGGAGCCTAGACCTGGTGAAACTACACAGGCTGCAGGAGCATGGAGCAAATGGAGAAAGTGCAACCAGCCCAACAACAACCACCAAGCTGCCACAGGAAGCACCCTGGGCTCTCCTGAGCTGGGACGGTGGGGAGCTGTGGGCTTTGGCCACACCCACCAGATACCCACAACTAGCCCAGCAATGACCACTGAACCACTGTAGGGAGTGCCCCAGTCTCTCCCCACCCCAGACACCTGCAACCAGCCCAGCAACAACCACCAAGCCTCAGCAAGAAAGACCCCAAGTTCCTGAGCTGGGATGGTGGGAGGCGAAGGCTCTTGCCACACCCCCCTGACATCTGCACCCAGCCTGGCAATGACCAAGCCACTGCTGCAGGCCCCCTGGTCTTCCCTGTGAGAATGAGGGTGTGGCACAGGCCTCAATCCCACCCCTCCTCCTTCCTTCTTCTTCCATCCCATTTCCTTCCCCTTTCCCCTCTCCCCCTCTGTCCCAACTGCTCTGCAACAACATCACAGAATGTAAAAGAAAGTCATGTTAATAAGAATAAATAAATAAGTAAAAATAAAAGTTAAAATTCAGTGAAAAGGAGAAAACAAAAAATTTTTAAAAGTACATTTATTATTTCACTAATGTTAACTATGCCAGTAAATGATTATTATGGGAGTGCTATATTTAAATGATTTCATGTAAATGTGATTAATCATTTAAAATGAATAAATCATTTTATAATAAAGCAACTAATAAGAAAGAAATTTCACAGCCAAGAAGGGGCTTAGATAGTATACATTTTTTGACACATTCTAAATTATTTTTTGACATATTCTAAATGGCCAAATTATCTTAGTTGGCTAATAAACCTGACTCAGTCTAGTTCTCCATAATTTACATAGTTTTTCAGTAAGGAAAAGGGTAAAATAAATTGTAAGGCATAAGTCATTTGGATTAGAAATTATCTCTAGTCATATATCTAAACAGATTCAAGGAGAGGTTCTTTTCCAGCATAAAATTTTCATCCAGTTCATCAGCATTTACTTTTCTTCATTAGGTCCAAGATGTGTGTGTGTCTGTTTGTGTGTGTATATGTATATGTATGTGTAATGCCTTGTAAGGCATTTTAATTAAAGTAAATGCAGATTTAATTAGAATAAGTATACATTTCATTTAAACATCAATACAATTAGAAAAAGTTTGTTTGATTGCTGCAAAAGAATAAAGGCTGTGAAACTAACACAATATTATTGAATCTGTGCTTGAGTTACTTCAGAACATTGAAATATGTTTAAAGAAAACAGCTTTTTATGGACTTATTTTAAATATAGTTAAGCTTTTAATTATAACTTCAACATGGATTGGTCATTATCAAATTTATGAATATGAAGGTAAAACGTTATGCTATTGTATAATAACAGTTCAAGAACAACAGTCTTATATAGACCAAGACAGTATGGCACTGAATGAAAAACAAGGATAAATAATTGAAAGCACAATTTCCATTAGTTGGCACATAACTTTTCTGTCAAGATAAACTTTGTAAGTAAAGAGGGAAGAAAATGTATGACCTTTGGACATCTAGTAAAACATATAAGTTAGCACCCAGGAAACCCCTATGTCTAAAACTTATTTCTGAAATAATGTGAAAAAAGAGAATTGACTTACGATGATTTTCTTTTGTACTGCTGTGTTGTTTTCCACTTTAAAGAGGGAAGAGATTGAGGGCATAAAAATATCTCCCGTTTAAACATTACTGCTGATAAGTGGAATTATGTGTATGGGGTTTAATTTTTTTTTTTTAAGTTTTGCATTATTTTTGTAGAGCATATCTAATGTTTTAATTTCTCTATTTTTTTGTTTTTGCTTTTGTTTGTTTTCTTTTAGCTTCTCCATGGGTTGATAATAGTAGAACTCCAAACAAGATTGACCTTTACGATGTACGCAGAAGACCGTGGTAAGAATTTTTAGCTGGCCGTGGAAAGATGAAATAAAAAAAAGTTGCATGTTTTGTTAATAAGCTGGAGGGAAACTTTTCATTATTAGAATCAATATTGTCTACTTCTTTAAAGTGCTCTAGTTTTTTTGAAAAACAAATATTGTTAAAAGTAAGTGAAAATGATGAGTTTAGGTGGGGAATGATAATGGATACTGTTGCAATGATTTACCAAATTCATTTCAAATGAACTACTGTAAGCTTTATATTTAGTCTCAGCTCTAAATTTCTTTGAGCTGGTGGGGATTTCTATTAGAAGGCTCCCAGTTTGCTTGGAGTAGAGCTCTAACAGAGTGACAAGGTAAAGAGGAGGTAGTTTGCCTCTGGCAGTGAACTAATGAGTCCTGGCCCCAAGGTAAGAACTGCCGCTAGTTATATTCATATAGCTTAGGTTCTGTTTTTTTCAAAAAGAAGTTTTATTTGTTCATCAGTGTTAAACAACTCATTCTCCTATGTAAAACTCTAAAAATATTGATAAGCCATAATTGGACACAACTATTAATTTTTTATTAATTGTATTTTATTTGAGTTTTTAAAAATGTATTTAATGTGTGTATATATATATATTTTTTTTTCATGAGTTCAGATTATGTACAATATAGTGCCTTCTACCCGTACTTTTTATTTCAGTACCTTTGAGTACATATTGATGAGAAGAAATAATAAACAGTATTTAAAAGAAGACTATATGGTAGCTTATTTATGAAATCCCTTATTATTGGACATTTAGGTTAGGGTTCTAACTTTTTGCTAGGATTCAGACTAATTCAAAGAAGCAAAATGTTTGCTTCAAAGGACATGGATTTAAAGCTTTTTAAATGCCCTGTTAAACTTTCCAGTAGTAATTTATTTAAACACCAACCATGAATAATTATGACAGATATTATTAATGCACATATTATTCTTACTATTTTTCCAATGTATCCCTGTGGAGCCATGGATTGTTGAGTAGAGGCAAAGACTACTAAATCACATGGTTTGTGTTCACGAATGTGTTCTGGATTTTGTTTGGGGAAAACTTTGAAGCTAGGTGCCAACCAGAAGAGGCAGACAGTATCCTGTTCTCTCATCTTCCCATTGAGGTGCATAGCAGGCCTAGTGTTAATATGCTAGGCATGAACTAGATTTGTCTTCCCTGGAAATACACCTGCAACCCTGCCACACCACTTTACCTTCTTATAGAGAAACAAGCATGAGTGCAGGTTATAAACTGTAACTACTTTGTCAACACATAGTCCAGAGTATATTAACTGTGCAGAACTAATTGGCAAGTTACCTGGCAGGCTTCTGAAAAGTTAGATTTAGAGTGATGGGCAAAGAGGCCTCAGAGGTAAGTAGAAAGTTAGGTTCAAGTGCAGTCCTTCCTGTTGGGGAAGGCAGGCCCCTTGTTCCCTATCAGTCTGGCCAGGTATTATGAGTTTTTTGGGTAGTTCACGATAAAATTTATCTCCTTCCACAATCACTGAATCATCTACATAAAACTCTCTTAGAGTCTCTTTAAAATGCAGTGATTCTGATTCTGTAAGGCTGGGGTTGAATTTGGGAATTAACATTTTGAACTTATTCTCCAGGTGATTCTTATACACTATAAAGTTTGAGAGCCACCACTTGAAATTCTTGGTGATAACATTACATATCGCAATATTTTTAATTACTTTATTGGCCTGTAGTATTTCTTTTTTGTTTTCATGTTCCTAGACCACTTGTCTATTTTCACATCTATATTTTTTTTCATTTAAAAATATGACAAACCATTATTTGTTAGAGTGATTTTTAAAACCTGTGGTCAACAAATGGAGTTCAGGATAATTTTTTTTTCCCCCCCTAGAAAAATGTCCTTCCTGAAGTTAATTTCTTCCACTGCTAGTATTAAAAGATATGTCTTTATCTTTTGTTATAAATATCAGAAAAATATACTTTAAATATCACAGCTCTGACATCTCTACTGTTATGTTAAATATAGCTTCTTCAAGCTGACATTGTAGAATGTAAATAAAAGACCATTGTGTACTGAGATAGAATGGAAGTCTTTGCTTGAAAAAGACCTTCTCTCAGACCTTATCAGTAAATTATCAATTCAACAAATATCAATGTTTTACACTTTTTCAAGAAAAAAAATATTTATATGGTATTTGTTTCAGGTACATTCAAGGTGCTGCATCTCCTAAAGACATGCTTATTCTCGTTGATGTGTAAGTAATTAAATATTACATATTAATATACGGAGAATATGGGAGGATATGTAGATAACAGTAAATGTTGGGACTAAAAAATGTTTGATAGATTAAAAAACAATTATGTTGACTTCTGCATTCAGACAAAGAAGCCATATCAAGGCAAAACAAAACAGACAAAATTATTTTATTAAAAATGAGAAGAATCAATATTACAATGAAAAATTATGACATGGTTTTAAAGTTTGACCTTTTTGAAAAATTATTCATTTGCTTTCAATTTCTGCTTTATATATATATATATTTTTTTTTTCTTTTTGTCTTTTTTCGTGTCCGGCAACGGATCGCAACCCTCAGTGTCGCGCCCGTACCGGACCGGGACCGGCAATGGGATCACAACCCTTGGTGTTGCGCCCGCACCTCGCTCAGCCAGTGAGCGGGAACCGGTCTGTATGTGGGATTAGAACCCTCGGCGGGAGCGCGCGCTCCCAAGCAGCACACTGTAGCAGTGCGCCACCGGGCCGGCCCATAAGTTAGTTATCTTTAAATATGATATAATGATGAAATGAAATATATTTATAAGTATTACTACTTTTGCAAAAAAAAAAAATAGTTCTTGGCCATGTACTTTTTAAACTATACTGCTAAACATAGAATTATATCCAGATTTCTGGCTGGTGGAAATTTCTTGAGCAAACTAGAACCCTCGGCGGGAGCGCTGCCGCGCTCCCAAGCGGCGCACTGTAGCAGTGCGCCACCGGGCCAGCCCCGTGCTTTATATTTTAACAATATTGAAGTACAGTTGCTAAAACCTAAGCAGTTCCTGCTGTAAAAAAAAAATCACAACAAAAAAAGCATTTAGTTGGCACTTAATGATGCAATTAACTTGTAAGGCTTTGGTCACAAAATAGGTAAATATTAACTATACTAACTGTCAGTACTGGGACTTTTTCAAGGGAAGAGCTGATATATATGAAAGAATTCCAGGATTTTTTATATAGGTCATTTTATTTATTTGTTATATTGCTTCAAGTTAAGATATGTGTGTATCTGTGTGTTTGCATGTGCACATGTTTTCTAAAATAAGGTTAAAAATGCATATGTAGGACACTGACAAGATTATATCCTGCTATGGTGATTTACTTTTTTAAAGTAATATCAAGGAATTAAAAACATGAAATATGAAATGCTTAGGTTATTTTCCTTCAGAGAAAAGAAATATATCCTCATATATTCTTTGTCTCACTGGAAGAAACAAAATCCATGATTTGTAGGCAGCTAAACACATATCACAGGCATCTCTCCACATTTGAATATTCCCCATTTTGACCGGAAGTAAACAAGTTCTATTTAGTTGTCCAAAGCCTTATAACCCAGCCTGAGAAAGAGAAGATAACAAATTCTACAAATGTAACTGAACTGTTCATTCTCACTTCATTTGTTAAAATGCATTTAAGATCTTCAGGGAATGGAGACTGAGCCAGAGAGGATGGAGTACAGGGAGGAGACTGCTGCTGTGGGAACACTGTGCAGTGGAATGAATAAGGGAGATTGTCTGAGTGGGTGGGAAAGTTGAGAGGGAGAAAATGACTGATGACTGCTGAGACATAGCTGGTTGATACCGAAAACATAAATAGGAGCAGAAAGTATGTTTGGGAATAATTGTTATTTTGGACATTGAGTCTTAGTTGTTTAGGTGGCAGCTAGAAGAATAAAACTGGGAAAATCTTAGGAGCTAGAGATAAAGAAGTGGGAGTTAGTTGCTTAGAGATGAGCCCTGCAAATAGAGATGTCATGGAGGATCAGAGAATGCGTAGAGACAAGAAAACTAAAGACTAAACCCTAGAGGACGTGTGCTGTAGGGTACAGAACAAGGCATTTTGTCCACAGAGCTATTATCACAGTTGTCATCAGCTTTATAATTATTGGCATAATCAAGTCAAACAATGGGCTCCTAGTTAATGACTATGTCTATTAACTTCTCTACCCCTCACTTCTAACTTGACCAACAAAGCTGGTATTTGATACATATTTCCTGAATGAGTGAATATGCCGTAAGTATCCACATTTTAAAAAATTGTTACATCATGTCATTTTGATAATTTCAGTTAGGAGTACATACATACTGATATTGGTAGGAAAGAAAGGCAGGATTTCTTACCATGTCCCCTCTATCAGAAAATCTGACTTTTTCTATTGCTGATTATTTTAAAGACAAAATTATTATTTGAATATTAAATAAATGACCAGAGTTAGTGCATAAGTTATCTTTTCTTCTATGCTATTGATTAAATAAATAGTGAGTAACATTTGTGGATCTATTTGTCTGTTTATAGGAGTGGAAGTGTCAGTGGATTGACGCTTAAACTGATCCGAACATCCGTCTCAGAAATGTTAGAAACCCTCTCAGATGATGATTTTGTGAATGTAGCTTCAGTAAGTATAAGATGACTGTGAAGTTTTCCTGAATTAAATCTGCAATTTCTATCTCCTTCTGATTTTAGATACTTTTTATTTTTACGTTAGATAGGCTGAGACATTTCTTATATGAGACTATCTTACTGAGCTGTCCTATCTTAGTTACTGATTCTCCTATATTTCCACGCCAACATTCTTTTTGAGTTTCTGAGTTTATACCTGAGTAATATAATTGAAATAGTGCATGTGAGTGAAAAGCATTGCACATATTCTCCTTTGCTCAGAGGAGCTAAAACAGGTAACGTGAGTCCTTTCACTCAATGACACCACTGGAACTCCTGATAAGTAGCAACTTGGCGATATGATTATATGGCAATTTTCTATTCATTATAATGCTCATTTTTTCCCTGGACACATATCTATATTGTATTATGTTTTGGAACTATTTTTTTCTTCTTAATACAAGAACCAGTAGACATTTGAATATGCTCTCATTAAAATCTTGTATCCTCAGAACCCTCTTAGACCTTCCTACTTGTAGCTAGAAAGTACTGAACTCTGAAGCAGATGAAACAAGACAAATGAATGTTACCATACCTCATTTTACTTCACAGAATTTAGGCAAAATATTTTGTGGCCATTTTCTGGTGGCTATAATTTTACATTTGAAGTGGATATATCTGTAGAAATGTAGATGGAAAAAAAGGGATTTGTGGTGAGGTTATTTTGTATGGAAAATACGAGAATGAATCTGTTTCTGGAATCACTTGGGGAAGAAGTGGTGAGAGCAGCTGGTCTGCACTTGATTTGCTGCCTTGACTGGTAGGGCACCACTGGGGAAGAAAAGAAGGCAGCAGGAGACCCGGTATAATCCCTTGTCAACGCAACGCATAGATTAATGATATTGATTTAAGAGGAAGAGAACTTATCCCTAAAATGCTTTTTAGTGGGATATCCCTGGCGAAGGGTAGCTGTGGTAAATAGAACCCAATATCTATGAGGCAAGATTACCTGAAAAATGTCTCACAGGTGCTATAATTTTCCAGGAAGTAAATTGGAGATATTTTATAGTTTAAGTACATTGACCAGAAACCCTGTGAAACTCACGTGGGCCAGAGGGATGTGCCCAGCAGAGGAAGGAAGGAGCTGGGAAGCTGTCTTTTAAGTCAGACTCTGTCTGCCTCATCTGTACCTTTAGAAGTCCTTCAGTTTGTATTCTTGACATTTTTTAGTAAAACTTGGTACTGCATAAGATCTCTAATTCATGTCAGTGTGCTTTTACAATCTGACCTGTGTTAGCTCACCTCTTATTTCAACAAAACACAAACAGGTATAATGTAATGCTTGATCTCTCAAATAAGATGATCAGAAAAGATACTTATTTAGCTTTATTTGCATGTAAACACGTTCATTACAAAGGCTTTGGAATTGTAGTTCACAAAAATATTATCTTTGGCATAGGAAAAAAAGAAAATCTTCAATCCAGAGCATATTTGTCATACCTAGTGAAATTTATATAAAACTAGCATATATTAAATATTGTTAATGTATGAATATGGCTTGTTTCAGAAGCTGAACTTCACTTACGGATTCAAGTGTAAGAAGTTTACCTGGGAGGTGGTCACAGGGAACACTTCTAGTCAAAGGAGTGGGGAGTGAGGCAAGGCGAGGAAGGAAGCCAATTAAAGGATCCTAATTTAATTTGTAGGAATGTAATTCTGCTGAGGAATTCTGGAAGCCAAATCCAAAGGAGCTAGGGTGTTAGATACCAGCCTTGCCATTGGTGGGGCAGAACAGACTCTGGACACAAGAGGGAGGACTGAAACAAAAAGTTGTAGGTGCTGGTGGTTAGAAGCCTGGCCAGTGTATCCAGTCAATGATTCTTAAATGTAGAGACAGGTCATGGTTTTTAACAAGTAAACAAATAAACATGGTACAGGATAATGGACTGCCAGAGTTAGAACTAAGGTCATGATTTATATTTATCTGTTCTCTCCTCTAATATCCTTCCTAATTTCCCTATACACTTGGCCAGCTCTTGTGCTACTGGTAGCTTGCTTGATGGAATCACCCACATTTTTACCCAGAGGCCTATGAATCCATGGTTTCTGTGTACATTCAAACAGTGGTTTCTACAATTACCCATTCACAGTTATCACCACTATGGAAATGTTCAAATGAATCCCCAGAGTTCCATGCACAGTCCCCACATTATATAGCAGCAACTCTCATGATAATCTCCTTATCAATCAGAACCATGCCAATAGAATGCCTGTTTTTTGTTTTGTTTTGTTTTGTTTTTTCTTCTGCATGTTGGTCTAGTGATATGAGAAGGCCAAAATATCCAGGTTGTAGTTATAGATTTAAGTTTAGTGAAATTCTTACTGTGATCGGTAAGAGCACTGCCTACTCCCCCTCACTACACACACACACACACACACACACACACACACACACACACACACACACACAAGATCATTTATTTCTGCAGAGCCTAAAGTTTCAGGGACAGGATGTACAAATTTCCCAAGTGAATCACTTTGAGTTATTGCAAGAGGGGAAATTTCTACTTCCTCCCCTTTGCATTCATGCATTCTGCCTCTTGGGGGCAGAGCCAGTAGGGTGGAGGGGAAACCTGATTTGTAGCATCTGCCAATTTTCATGATAAAAGTATTCCCACTATGGCCAATTCCAAGTTACCGATGCAAGGTCAACTGGTTTTCGGTGCTCCTGAAAATTTCACCATTGTTTTTCATGAGCAAGTACAAGCTGGCTTCAGCACATAGTGCCATGGTTCAGAATACATATTGCATCTTGAACAGCAACACCCTAAATCAGCTTGTCATCGCCAAACTATAGCCTTCATTGCACATTTAAAGGAGATTGTCTTACTGTTTTATCAGACTGGCAGCTTCTATAGATGCAGGATATGATAGACCCCATGGATCCTGTGGTCATATGTTTATTATTGGACTTCTTTTACCGTGAAATGCATTGCTTGGTTTGAGAAGATGTTATGTGGGATCTCATAATGATAAATCAGGCAGTATGTGAACCCTGAGGATTAGTGATACTGGACGAGGTGCTGTGAACAAGTAAGAGGAACTCTTAACTGGAATATGTGTCAATAACAAGAAAAACAAATTTCATCCCTTCTCTTAAAGTATAAAATGCAACATGATAATTTTATGCTTCCAGTTGCTGGTTGTTTTCTTTGAGAGGTGCTACTATACTGAGGACTCTACATTGGACTTTTCCCAATGGGTTGGTCATTTGCCAGTTAAAGCAGCTATACAAACTTGATGAGAAAGAGCTTTTATGCCCATGTTATCCTCTCTCTCTGCTATCTGGCTGCTCCATTCATGGGCCCATTTTGTAAGCAGTACAGTTGCCACATACAGAGCTGGATGACCTCCAGTGGACAAATCATCTTATCCACCCAGTTGTTCAGTATCTCCTCTGTGATGAATGCTCCCTAGTGAACACTGATGTGAGACAAAGAGATCTGCATACTTCATGCCTATTCCCATGGATCCATCCCCATGCTTTTCCCCCAAAAAACTTTGTCTGAGGAATGTCTTCCAATCATGCTCCTTCCAGGGTCTTGGCCAACCAGCCAAACCATTTACCACTACACAGGAGTCCATGTGTTTTCTTTTGTCAGGCTACTCGTTTCTCCACGCTAAGTTGATGACCAAGTGTATTTTGCCTCAAGATCCCTCAACACCTATTCCCTTGCATGTTTTCCCAGTATTTGCTGGAACTTATTAGGCAGACCCTGAAGCTATTTTGTTAAATATTTTGTCTTCTGTTTTCTTGGAGCAGAAACTACTTTTCCAGGTAGGTCATGTTGGGATCTGGTCATCTTGTTGCCTAGAGACATGAGAGGAGATGGAATCAGATTGGGAGAAGAGTAACCATTATTTTCTATGGTCTTTAGAGAAGCTGCTACCCTCTAACTAAGGGGACCAGGTTCCTTCTGCCTATCCAGAGGGTATAGAGGAATTCAGAAGTTCAATGTTCTCAAGTGTATCCACCCAGGTTTCGTCATCCTAGTATTAAAGTCCCATTTCTTGTCTATCAGTGCCCTGCTTTTTCCCTAGAAACCTACCAAGGCTATGAATGTAACCTCCTTTATAATTCTGTGATTCTCAAAAGCAAATTCTGAGCATAATTTCTAGCATGTGTTGACCTTCCCACAATAGGAAAAGAGAATCTCTTTACTATTTGCTATAGAATCTTCTGGCTTTCTTACTTTGCCCTAAGTTGAGAGTTGGCTGACCTGAGGCTGTCAATTTCTTCAGTGAAATTTAACAACCAACCAAGTCTTAGCTTTATGATTACTATTATTCCCGTATCTGTCAAAGTCTAGGTACATCTCTTTCAATCTATATTCTGTTCCAGTCACTGCAGATGAAAATCCCAGCAACTGTGACCCTATACCATCTGAGGAGTCTTCTTGACTTCTCAGTTACCAATGGGGCCTTTGTTGCTGTATGGTTGGCAAATGTTTCAATTCTAGAATCCTATCTTGAGGATCTGCTTATTAAAACCATTAAAAACACTGCTGGTTGTCAGCTTAGATTGGGCTTCCCCAGAAATAGTCACTGAGAAAAGGATTCAAGTTTAAATGGTTTATTTGGAAAGTAACTTTAGGAAAGACTATTGGAGAAATGTGGGAATTAAAACAAAGAAGAGAACTAAAATACATTATCAAACAAGTCACCACTCTGAATGAATGAAGGTTATACCTCTGGGTCATTCTGGGAACCAGTGTAGATACATGAATCATTACATGAAGGGTTATCCCTTCCAAGGGGAAAATGTGCTGAAGTATATAAAGTTGGTGACTGCTCCCAAGAGACTTTGATTCTCTGGTATTTCCAGATCACTATGTATAATAGCAGAGGGTTCCTTGCAATCTCAGATAGTTAGAAGTTGGGCTGTCATGAAATGAAATATGCATGGGGCACCAAAAGCATCTGCCTCAGTTGGAAACTGAAGAATGCTATTAATAA